TCCCCCCTCCCATACAGCGCAGACGACATTGCCTCCACCTGCCTCTCCGACCCGACAGACCTACTCTACATGATGGTACTCAGGGAAAGTAAATTATTCCTTCCCAAAAGACAAAACAAACTTTTAACAGTTAAACTTTAAAAAATAGTTTATTGAGTATTGTTAGGTAGGCCTATGTTAGGTATGTCTATTGCACATTATTGTCTCTCACAACCATCTCTTGTAAAAATCGAAAATTTCCATTTTAAGATGACAAAATACGCATCCATACAGTAGTCTTTTTAAAATGCTGTTGGTACCTGAGGGGAGTGATGGCCAGTCGGAATGTCTGTGCTAGAAGACTAGGTACCTCAGCTGCTATACTCATGTCATACAACCACTCAATTACCTGGAAATACGGGAACAAAATCAGTTAAGATTGTAAAGTAGATGTAGAGTGAAATAGCATTTCAGTAGTCTGAACATTATTACCTGAGAGCTAAGGTTTTTCCATGTTGAGTTTGTATTAAGTAAAGCCCAAAGAGCTTGAGGAAACAGGAGGTGACGATCTTGACTGCTTGAAGCTATAATTTTTGGATCACCAGCTAGAATATCATGGCCAGCAAGGCTTATGACAGTCACTAGGAGAAGATCACATACTGACAGAAGCATCTGTGTGAGGAGAGTTTTTCAAATAAATTTTCAATTAAAAGCAAACTGTTGTACACTTAGTTCTGCTTTAAAGACGAGGATGAAACTTAAAATGACATACCTTAGATTTTTTCTCATTCTCAGTGTCCTTGTTTGCTTTAATAGCCTGAATCCTTCCGAGCAATTGCAGCAACCAACGACTGTTTGACTCATGGTCTCGACAAACTCTCACTACTCGCATAACAGACTCCAGCAAGCACTCTTGAGCTCTGAGATATTATAAAAATAATAGAAAAATATGAGGAAGAAAACAAGGTTTTACCAATAGCAGTACTGAAAAAATACTTACTTTAAGTCACCATCAGCACAAATATCAATTGTGTCATTGAGTGCAGCCAATGGCATATCTGAATCCTGTGCCATTGCAATTGCAGAACTCACACGAATAGCACACAAAACTTTCTTAAGAGAAACCTCCCACCAGAGAGATGGTGATATTAGACGTTCAACATTCTTACTGGGTAGCACTAAAGCACATTCCTCAAAGGAATCAAAAACCTGCAAAGTAAGTGATTAATTGATTCGAGTGATTCTCTGTATTTTGTCAAATGATACGTAATGGAGATGTTCTTAAAAACTCACTTTGTCAGACAAATTTATTTTCTCCACAAGTTTTTCTATTATATTTGCAAGTGTTGCTACATTGCTTTCATGCAAATCTTGAGAGCGAAGTGCCACTTTCATGTGCCCCAGATAAGTCTTTAAAAGTGTGTCTTCTGAAAATAGATAGTACAATAAGTTAGATGAAATTTGAAAATAAGTTTTTGTTCTTTTCAAATTTACGTGTAGTAGACAATATTGTCTTCCATTGGAGTTGAGGCGATTTTACCAGATTTCATCTCATCAACCGCATGGGCAAGACATCTATCAACAAAGGGACCAAGATGATTTGGCGGTATTCCTTGCCCTAGATAATTGAGCACAGTAAAGATTGTCTTACAATCCTCCTAAAAAACGAAACTGAAGGTAGTAAAATTCAGAACATAATTCATCAACCAGGAAAATAAAACAGAAAGTCAACTGACCACATCATCTGGGAGACTGAGAGAAGATAATGTAGCGAGTAGAATGCGATTTGCAGATTGAGATGATTTACATTGTTTAGCTAATATTTCCAGACAGTTCTTTCTCACTGTTCCACCCTCCTTTAGCTTCTCCTATAATGTGTAATATATTACATGAAGTAGAACAAGGAGATGTGTTAATCAAAAGAGAACCAGGAAAAAATATGTCTCTTACCTCGATAAAGTTCCATGTGACAGGTGGAAGAGGCCTAGGTAGGTCTTTGGCAAGAACAGTCAATGCCAGAGCGGACAATTTGAGACTATATTTGGCCTGGTATGCCACACTGAACATCGCTCTCAAGATACTACTGTCATGCAGATGTTCATAAGATGTTGGTTCAGGTTTGGAGGGTGATTGGTTGTACAATCCCCGGTGAAATAGTTTAATTTCATTACGCATCCAGCTTGTTAACATAGAGCAGACTGCTGCCCTTCTGTCCTCATGAGAGCCTAAGCTTTCTAAAACTTGTTTCCAGCAATCGCCTAAAAATAAAGCAATTTTGTAAATAATACTGGTGGTTTACAACACTACAACTAGCCAGGATTTCCGAGGAATGATATATTAGGTATATTTTACCAGGAACATATGGCAAGACCTCTACGGGGTCTCGTTTGGCATCTATAGGGGTTTTGCAAAATGCTGATGGAAGTTTTAGGTTTTGACGAAATGCAGCTGGTAGTGACTTCAATGTAATCTGATCCATGTGAAACTCAGAAAGGGACCTACAAATGAAAAATTAGTGTTAAAAGAATAATGCTTCCTAAATAAAATGAAGACTGCATGTATAAAAATACGCTTAACAACAACAAAAACATACTTGAGTGCTGCACAGGCAACTTCACTGTTAGCATGTTGGGCCCAGCTCCACAAAGTGACAATAACATCGGCAATAAATTCTTCATACTTTCCTGTAGTAGTTGATAGGCATGAAACAACACTTAACAGCTCACATAAACTGGAAAAGAAATAATCTTTAAACATTTAAAAACAGCACTTAACAAATGTTGTAGACATAAAAATGTTGTAGACTGTACATGCACAGTGTGTAAAGATCTTGCTATTTTTCTGGGCCCAAGCAAGGCCTTTGATTTTGTAAACCATGCAATGTTTTAACTACTCAGTTGGTATTGCATTAGTTATATAATTGAACTTACTTTCTAAGGAGAGGGAAGTTTCAATACTATTAAATTTACCTCAACAACTACTATGCAAATATTTAAAAATAATGGGAAAGATTGTCTCTCAGTGCTCAGGATAGGAACCTTATCTCTTCTTGTTATGTGATAACCAACTGTTGAAAAGTCATTGCTAATTGAGTGTTGCCAATACTTATTCAGTATTTAAATCAAGAGGAACTTAGTAGGTGAGTTGAAAACTATGGTAGAAACAATGAGCCTGTAAATATCTTAATGATCAACTTCACAAAAAAAAAAATTCCCCTTTGTAAAGCTTCTCTCAATTCTCATTTGCTTTTTTTTCACTTAACTGTAGCAAAGCCAAATCAGAATCCATGCCAAATTAAACTCAGGAAGCAAGAATACAATTTCAGATCACTAAGCAATATTAAAGATGAAAAGGCAAACTTACTGCAGTAAGATACAAACTTTGTATAGTTTGTATGCAGTATGGGAACTTTTTTTTTTTTTTTTTTTACTTTTCTGCTATTTATGCTAAAATCTAACTCAGTAACTAGACCTGTACCTCCATCAATGCAGACAAATTCTAAGGATTTTAAAAATAAACTTAGAAAGTACTTCTAGTGCTATGCACACTCTAATTTCATCTCTGGCATGCTGAAAAACCAAACATGTTGTGTGTGCTGTTTGACTAAACTGTACTTCACTAACTATATTTGAACATTAAATAAATTAATATGAATATTAAGATTACCTTACAATGACGCCTGGACGTTTGTCCTGCATAAGTTTAGGGGCCAAGCCTCGCCATGTGCTTGCTACATCCATGATTCCTGCCCTACAAAGGCTGGTTATTCCTTGCACAGCTAAAGATGAGGCCACACTTCCCTCAGGGGATGCATTTTGAGTTAAAATTTGTGATAGCAAGGGGACTAATTCTGAGCCATGAGCATCTGGGCTAGAAACAAAAGTTCAAAACTTATTACATTACAGCTCATGCTTCAGTTGTTTAGATTAGATACTTTTTAATTACCTAGTGGAACAAATTTCATTGATTGCTGCCGCTTTTGCAATGTTTGATTCCCAGAGCAGGTCCTGGTTGTCTCCTTTGAAGGGTGTAGTGAGGAGGTCATGGAGAAAACGATATGCTCTTGGTTGCACTTTCCAAACTCTGACAAACAAATCTAAAGCCAATGTGGAAGAATAGAAACCCCCAACCATCAAAGATTTGAGAACCCCTAAAATAAGTACCATATTTTCCTGCAAAAATGCACATAGAATCATTAAACTAACATTCATAAAAATGAATACATAATAAAAACTTACTTTAATGTCACTGCAATTTTACCTCATACTTTCCCATAACTGATATTGCTCTGAAAAGTGCTAACTGTTGTAATGGTCTTTTTTCTTGAGCAAGCTGGTACAAAAGAGTGAGTGTGATCCTACCACTAACACTTGCTTGATTATTGGCTAACCACACTAAACTTGACAAGGCAGGCCACTCAACAGAATCGTCTTCATCCTTTACATCACTAAAGGAGTTCGATATTAATAGGGAACAAAAATATGGTGAGAATCTAGCAATAAATGTAGGACAAGATGTTTTCACAAGATCTATCCACTTGTTTGCTTCAGTCTCACTGCGCCATGATTCATTTACTCTAGGGGGAAAAAACACAGTAGTAACAGAAGTAGAAGTTAAACTACTCATCTAAAAGGTAAGTGTTAGTTTGCAACAACAAATATTTACCGGCACAGTTCTGCAGCTTCATGAACATTCTCAAATGAATGTCTTAATAATCTGAACCAAGGATTTGCACATAAGGAGCTGGCAGTGTTGCTCCAGCAGCTGGCTGGAGAGTCACGTATTTCAACCAAAAATTTAGTGGCGAGTTGAAGAGCTCCTCTAGTCAGAACAGATGGGAAAGCCAACCATGGAAGTAATGAAGTAACAACAGCATATACTGAAACTCTGCTGCAGGCATGAAGGTTGAATATTTCTTTACCTGTCAATGAAATTTTAGAGTTTATCCAGAGGGAGTTTGATTGGCCAGGTGAGCCTTAATAATTTAAATAGCTTACTAACAAGATTTAATTATAGAAGCAAGGAAAGTTGCAGGGCAAACAGTAATGGTGTCAGCCAACAGAAGCATGACACAGCTAGCTCCATTGGACGAAACCGAGAGGAGACGTATCACAATTGCCAAGCAAGGCTCAGGATCAGCTCCCCGGGTCACAAGGTTACGTATTGATGCAGCTGCTATTGGGGCCAAAGCCATACACAGAGGTCCATCATGTTCCCTTAGAGCTGATTCACATAGGTCAAGGAGAAGCATGCCTGCCTCAACACATCGCGATTCATCAGCAATCTAAATAAGAAAAATAATTTTACAAGTGGTCTAAACTGGTTAATACTGAATATAAGTGTCTACCCATCAGTAAAGATAAAGAACAGGTAATTACACTACCTGGAACCAGGGCACACATTGAAATACTAGCTGCCTTACAGACAAGTCTTCAAGAAAATGTAACAGTAATGCCCATGTCTTCTGACGGCTTTCTGCTGGCAAATGCGGAGTACTTTGTGGATCACACAAGACGTACAGAAGAAGAGGCCTTAAAACCAAAATGTTTTCTTCCTCAATTCTGTTGATTGAAAACCCATTTAGATTAAAAAAACAAAAAATGTAAAGCTAATGTTGAAGCATTGTAAAGAAAAAACAAAAGAAAACATCTCACCTCTTTTCTGAATGAAAGAAAAAATTTTGAACAAGGCGATACACATCTGACCAAGTGTCTCTTTTATGCTTAAGAAGTGTGATAAGTGGATGTTGTATTGGGTACAAAGAGAAGGGACATTCATAAGGTTTTGGACGGCTGTCCATATCCCAGCGCAACAATACAGCTAAGGCTGCAGTAACTCCAGAATAGTTTCTTAGAACGGAAAAAAGGTAAGTGAGTTAACTTCGTAAAACACATTTCAAATAGACTTCAATTTCATTACATACTGAATATTGGCAAAAGCTGAAACTAGGAGAGAAATAGCATGCATGGGTTGTAGAACATCATCTTCAACTAATGACATAAGACCCTGACACGCAGTTACTGAGCGAACTGGATTGTGGTCACATATAAGGAAACGCAGCTGTTTCATTTCATTAATCTGTCAAACAAAACAGAAAATTTACTGAGAAGGAATTTGATCATGAAAAAAGAAGATGCATTATTATGAAATATAACCTCATTTAATTTCTGTTTTTGATCATTTCTTTTGATTACAGTAACTAATTTGTTGATTTCCTGCCAAAGACAATCACAAAATCAAATTAAGTTTAGTCAGAAAACAACAAAGTAATGACAAAGATATTAAAAACGAGAAATACCTTGACAACTGAAACAGGATCGACGGTCTGCCGAGAATTCGGTGTTTCAATTTCATCTGATCCTGCCATGATTTCCATCTTTTAAACTGAACAAAAGTACAAAGACATATAACCTGAAAATAATTGTTGTGTCAGATGCTACAGCTACACCTCACAAGACAAAAACTTTAGTACACACGACTGTCGGTGGGTAGTTCAATTGTCATTTAGAGTGTTATTTTCAAATTAGGGTTTGATGACATAACAGCAGGTAGCAACATTTAGCAAAAACAGACTAACACCGGCCGTTTTCAACAATTTGAAGATAAAGCAGAAATCACGTACCCCGCTTAACCCACCAAGTCGCCAACATTCCGCATCGAACTAATCCAAGTTAAGATTCCCGATATGCCAATTATCCATCGCAAAAAAAGCGTCTTCCATCTCTTTTATTTGTTGGTTAATATCAAGGATCTTTTGGTTCTGGTGTACTCTATTTTCCATCTTAAATGCAATGCCTGTATGTTTTTCCAGCATTGTTGAACTTGTAAATCGAGAAAGGGGATTCTTCTGCTAACAGCTGAAGTAAACAGTGTCAGAATCAGAAATATTTATATTTATTTCACGTGTTAAAGTGTTTTTGGAAATGAATTACAAATGACTGATCTCTTATAACGTATTGATGGTAAGTAAAAAGCAATGTGACACTTCATATCAATCGTTCACAATCAGTAACCATACATATAGTTCATTTGTCACTTGGCCAAGGGTTAGGTTGACAGCTACTTTTCATTTTTCGTAATTTTAATAATTTTGAAAATTTGTTGCCACAGAATAATCCATCATTACATAACACTATGGATGATGAAGATGATTCCTCAAATGAGGTCGATTTAACCATCAGTGCCATAGGTTGTCAACCAACAAGACGACACTCAGTGCCCAGTACTTCAAAGGTAACAGCACGATTTATTGTGAAAGCTGAAGCACTTTGTGTAAAATTTAATGGTGTGTGTGTGTTTGAGTTATTCAATATGACCTTCTTGCAGGTAGTACCGAAGTCAGAACCGCTATGCGATAGAGACTATGGAGCGCTGGTGGACGTCAAGCCCCGACCTCTTCCCGCTCTTCGGCCTGAGTTTCATGATATCAAAAACATTCAAAGTTCACCTGCTATTAGCTGGTCTGGCACTAATTGGCAAGATGGATCAAGGAAGAGTGCATTTCAGCCATACAGAGTAATCCAATCAGATACAAATGTTATTGATGTGTATATTATCTATTCAGTTGTTCAGTATCTTTGTTAACTGCATAATTTGTCTATTCTGCAGCCTTCAACACTCTTGACCAATTTACAAAGAGGTAATACTCAAACTCAGACCCCTGTCATTGAGAAAGAAGAAGTCAGCCTTCATGAAAGAGCTGGCCAGGGAGAGATAACTGAAGCCGAGCTAGAGCAAGGTAAGTTGATCATTTTGTACAATTTTGAATAACGCCTCCTTGTTCATAATATATAGTTAATTTAACAACATTTATCATGTGGTGACTGTGTGTGTCTTTGATTTGTCTAGAAAGCAAGACTGATTCTCCTGATGAAAATGGCCTCACACCACTCATGTGGGCAGCAGCCTATGGTCAGCTTTCAACTGTGCAGTTATTTCTAAAGCATGGAGCACAAATCGATAAACTTGGCCCTGAAGGAGAAACACCTTTACTTTTAGCCGCAGCTGCAGGCCACCATGATGTTGTTCGATTACTTCTTAATGAGGGTGCAGCAGTGAATCATGCAGATGATGTAAGTTTGTCAACTTGTGTTTCATGCACATCTTCTTTCCTATTCTACAGAGAAAACCTTGATGGATACATGTTAAAAGATAGACGCATTTGTATTTGTAACAACTATCTAACCAACCAGAGAAACAGAATAGTATATTTAGTATTGTCTCTCACACTGTATGTTATGTTCCTCGTACTTCATTCCTTTTATGTTTCAGATTGGGAACACTGCAATAATGTATGCTGCCCACGGGGACCATCCTCACTGTGTAAATGAGTTACTCCTTCAAGGAGCAGATTTCTCAGCAACAAATGAGAACGGGGACACAGCATATACCATGGTGGTGCGAAGTAACAGTCATCTTGGTAGGTTTGTCTTCTGAACCAATTTGTAAAATTTGATGAATAATTAACTACTTACTAATGGATTTTTTCCTCCTTGATTTAGCTCAAGTTGTACTAGAAAATCACCTATTGACATTATTGACATGATGAAAAGATACAAATGTGATATGGAGATAGAATTAGGAAATGACCAATGATGGTTTCGTCATCTCATCAAATTTGCATTTAGAATAATATTTAAATCAAATTCTTTAATAGAATTCTATTGTTACAAAAACTTGATTTGCTGGCTGTGGTTAATTCATAGAACCATTGAATGAATGTATTTTTGATCTGGTCTAATTTGAATCCATGGCATGCTTGATAGAAGAGCTGAGATTAGGTACTTTGCAACTAAGAGGGGACTTTTGTCTTTACACTGCATACATTGCTTTGCATTCTTTGAACAATACACAGGTGTATGTATACCTGCCTTGATACCGACAAATGAGTGTCCCGAATATTTGGATAGTGCTGGAAATGTTACAATTTTTATTAAGAAAGATAACTGCATGATGACAGTTCTGAAAACTTACAATAATGTTACATACAAATTTCTTTGTATTTAAAGATGTACCAGCTCACATGGGATGTTGTTTTGAAAGCAAATTGTGTAGATTCAGCTGTGACGTGGGAAATTGTTTTTTCTGATTTGAATTCAGGTTGTGATGTTCTTATTTTGTACCAAAAACACACCTTGCCTCTATTAGTCTTTGCTCATGAGCTGTTCCACATTTCACATAGGTAATTTAAAAAAAATATGCAAAAAGTTGTGAGGGTGTGGGTTAATAACCCACAAAATATCAGTTGTGAAATTTTAAATCAGATTTTACCTACAGAAAACATTATGTAATGTGACCCAATTATGTTTTATCTTGTTTGAAATGCGTCAAAAAACTCTTTTTAATAAGTCAATAATAACTGAGTTTGATGGTATTTTTACTTTAGAGGTATTTTATTGTTAATGTAAGTGTTACTATTTGTTTATTTCGTTTATATTGTTGCTACTGAATATATATCTGAACTTCGTCATGACATTTTCTGGCCACTGATTTATTGACCACAACTCTTAATTGCTGGTCCTTACCACCCTCTCGCCTAGTGGTCGAGGTAGAGCACGGCCGTCGCGTCTCCCTGGCTGAAGTCGCGCTCAGCGTAGGCCACCCAGTACGCGAGGTTGAGGAAGATGAAGGAGGCTGGGAACAGGACGCGCGCCGCCCGGTCTATCCCGGACACGCTGTTGATGTGGTGGTGCTCCTGGAGCGCGACCCGCTCGCGTTGCCGTCGGAAGGACTCGTCGCCGGCGAGGCAGAGTGCGGCCTGCCGCCAGCGCGCCACGGGCCGGGCCACCGGCGGCGACCTGGAGCTCTGCAACCGAGCGGTCGGCATGCGGACTTGGACGTGCTTAAACATTTACTTAGCGAGATATGATATTTTCTGTTATAGCAGGCGAACTCTGAAAATAACGCGTTCCACCATACTTTTCAAGATTGTCTCTAAGAAACACAATATGTTGTGTCCCGCTTGGTAATGTTTCGAAGTGTTCCACGTCCCTCTCTCGTCCTTACACTGGAGCTGGTGAATGCCAGAGCCCTGCGCTGGTGGCGGGACGAGGGTCCCGCGCCGCTGAGCGCGGGTCCGAGCGCGGAGGCGATGGCCGGGCCGAGCGCAGCCGCCGCCCTGCGGGGAGCTCTGGACAGGCCCCTCGACGCGGTCCGGGCCGAACTGCCGTCCTCCTGCTCCTCCTCGTCCACGTAGATCTCCCCGCTGCCCACCTGAAGAAGCGAGCGCCGCGTAACATTGCTTAAGTCTCGTCCTTCTTCAGGGCGCCTGGCAGGAGGCCGGCCCGCGAGACACCCCTGCGTAACGGGACTGCCTACCAGCCAGGCGCCCGGCAGTAGGCCGGCCCGCGAGACACCCCTGTGCAACGGGACTGCCTACCAGCCAGGCGCCTGGCAGGAGGCCGGCCCGCGAGACACCCCTGCGTAACGGGACTGCCTACCAGCCAGGCGCCCGGCAGTAGGCCGACCCGCGAGACACCCCTGTGCAACGGGACTGCCTACCAGCCAGGCGCCCGGCAGTAGGCCGACCCGCGAGACACCCCTGCTCAACGGGACTCGGCCGCGGCATTTTATCGCATTCCACCTGACGCAGCGCCTGCTTTCCCACGGTGGCCACCCACCTTGGTGAAGTAGTGGACGGCCGCAAACTGCAGCAGCGTGGCGATGCAGTAGAGGAAGCTCATGAGCAGGAACCAGTCAAGCGCCGTGGCGTGCCGCACCTTGGGCAGGTCCTTGCGCGAGTCTAGGCTGATGGTGGAGAGCGTCAGCACCGTCGTGATACCTGAAGAGGAGAACGGTCGTCTGATACGCTTAGCTCTAGGGGTGGGACCCACTCCTAGACCGATTTTTTCCGGAAAAGTTGAAAACTTTTCGATAAAAAAATTGTTAAAACTGAAATATTTCAAGAAAAATGGGAAAGAAAAACTCTTAAGGAAAAATTTCAAAAGTTCTTTAAAAGAAACCTTCTCCAAAATACTTTTTTCGGAAAATTAAAATCTCTTTGCACTCCCTTCCATCTCCCCTTCTCACCGAGGCCAACCCTGTCACTGGTCGCCTCGCGGTGGATCCAGAACGACACCCAGGACAGGACGACGATTAGGATGCACGGCACGTACACCTGGATGAGGAAGTACCCCGTGTTCCGCCGCAAGTTGAAGTTCACTTGCAGGATGGAGAAGTTCCCTGTGTGGAGCGGGCCGTTAGGAAAATACCCTGAAAAGGCATCGCGGTGCGCCTTTACTTGTGCGCCGGACTCACCGTCCCTTCGGCTGATGGTGAAGTTCCGGTGTGGCGCGGCCATCAGGTCGAACTGGCTCAGCGCCATCCCCGGGACGAAGTCCACGCTCACCCCGCCAGGGCCCCCAAGCCACTCGTACACCACGCTGTGCAGGGGGTACGCGTCTACCCCAAACTCATTAAGTTAAGGTTAAGTGTGTCAGTGTTAAACAACAGTGACAAAAAGATCAACGCACTTACAGCTGCCTATGATGAGCGGGCAGGACTGCGTGTCCATGGGGAAGTTCCGCAGTTCCATCGGGCACGTAGCCTTGATGGTGAGGCTTTGGACAGTGGAGAACTTCGGAGAGGTGTTAACCACAAATAAGAGTAAAATTCTACATGGTATCGCCCACCAGCCCCGTTCTTAATTTTATTTATAAGTGTGCCGTACGAGGGCGTGCGGGCAGATTTCCCTACCACCACTCACCAAGGCCCTGAGCGAGTAGGCAACCCGTCCACACGCGTGCAGAAAACGCAGTGCGTCACCTTAAAAAATAATAAACAGTTTTGGGGGCAGTGGGACACCCTATATACTGACCGCATCGAGTAGATGATGTCGCCGTTGCTCGACAGGCGGAGCAGCTTGTTGGGCACGGTGATGGTGTGTACGTAGGACTGTTTGCCGTTGTAGAAGTAGGTGTCGGGGCGCCATATGCGCTCCAGCATCTTGATGGACAACGAGAGGCTCTTGATGGGGCCCTTGAAACTGAGGCGGGCGTCGCGCCAATACTGCCGGAAGTAGCAGTCCATAGAGTAGTCCTGGAAAAAGGAGCGAGCGGGCGTTTCGAATAAGAAAAGTCAAACTTCGCGCCACTCAGATTTTGGGCGCTGCCTCAATCTGTGTCGCTTAGCCTTACCATGCCCAGTTCAGACACTGGTCCCATGCTGCGTATAAGTATGTTGGTTCTGACCACGGCGGGTTGCCCTAGAATGCAAATCACCAAAAGTCTTTCACGATGATATTTATTGAGATTTGTTGGTGGACGTGAACATCGCGTACCGTTCCCCGTCCTGGGCGGCCTGCTGTTCTCGTAGTTCTTCAGGAGGTTCTCGAGCACGAGGGTGATGTTGCGGCTGAGACGCTGGCGCGCCCGCTTGGCGCCCCTCCCCCGCGCCCTGCCGCGCCCCCGGCCCAGGCGGCGGCCGCCGCGGCGCAGCCGTGGGCCAGGCTGGCCGACGTGGTCCTGGGCGCGCGGCGCCGGCCGGTCCTGAGAGGGCAGCTCCTCATCCGCCCCGCGCCCGCGCTCCGCCCGGCCGAGGTGCCCGCCGAGGTGCCCGCCCTCCGCGGGCGGCCCGGGGACAGCGGCGTGGTGGCGCGCCAGCAGCGCCCTGTCCACATCGTCAATATGACAAATTCAACAGCTCGCCACCTCGAATTTACTACGAAAAAATGCCGACTCACAGCTCGACGTCTCAACGTCAATATTACAAACTTTCGACCTACAGCCTGTCGTCTCGACGTCAATTTGGCAAAATTTCAGCCCACAGACGCCCACAGCTCGTCATCTTGACGTCAATATGGCGCTATAGAGACATATCACCACTACGGCTATCTAAAAGCACTAAAAGCCCTGTCGATGATATTGGTTCGAACGACGTTTTGTTCGAGTTTGACTGCATTGGCCTGTCCGCTGGTCTGGCATATACCAGATCGTATGATATCCGGGCTTTGTAACAAAAACTTGACAAAAAAGCACGAAATAAACAGCAAATAATATACACACACATGTGTTTCTGCGTCACAGCTTTTCCTCGAGAGTGAATCTACACTCTCCATGCGATCACATCGTCTCGCTACTCACCCAAAGTCGGTGGCCGCCAGCACCAGCACCAGCAGTCGAACCACGCTGGTGCACTTCATGCCCAGGCCGACTCTATCCCAACTCGCCCCGGGGGCGTCTGGATGCGGTCTGAGCAGCTAGGGAGGGGCACGGATGTGACGGGAGGCCAAAGGGAAACGGCGGGGTGGCGAGGTCGTGGTAAGAGGAGGGGGGAGGGGTGCGGTGCAGAACCCCCCAGGGGGAAAGGAAGGAAAGGAGCTGCGCTTAGCTTTAAACGAGGGCTGTTCTCTGTCGAGTGGAAGGAGGAGTTGGGGGCTGGGGGCGTCAGTTTGAGACACAACCCCCGACACCCACCCACCCCCTTCCCGACTCTTTTGCATTGCAGACTATTGAGCACGTCGGAATGCCTGCCATTGATCAGCCGGCAGACAAAGAAGGCCTTGATGAAATACAGAGAGAGGAGAAAGTCAGAAAGAGGCATGTAGTAGGGGTGGGGGTGCATCAAGGCACACTTTTAAAAAACGGCAGCTGTTACGGAACGATGTACGCTCCCACCGTATGTATCTGCCGTTTTTGGTGATTGTGCGTGTTGTATTGGACGGAACACAGAGTACGGTGGTATCAACGTGCACTGCCATACTTTTACTTGTCATTAGTTAATGCAATGTAGGTGGAAAAGGAAGATCTCTCACGACCTTGATTAAAACGCAATTTATTCCGGGAATTCGAACCACCAAGGCCGGGCTCCATTTCAGGTTCTTGGGTTGATGAAAGTAGCCTTAAATTTGATGCAGCTGAACAGTTGATTTTGCTCGTTGTACAATCGGGCCTCAGGCACGAATATTTTTCCCAGCGCGTCTTTGAGGGAGGGACCTGCTAACTTCTTTATGGTTGACATGTTGACTGTCCCGTTCCTCACCACGTACTTTCCCTTGAACAGAACGAACGCTGTCAGAGAAAACTTTTGGGACCCTCTCTGTAAAATACAAATGTCGCCTTACTGCAGCAATCGGGCATTTATAAGAGGGGTGTACTGCTTGCATTAGGCTGGCCCAAGGCATCGCGTCCGAAGTCATCAAACCGCAAACTCCAGTGGTAAATTTAAACGTGTTCAAATAAGAGCACGTATTGTAAGACACGGCATCGATGCACTGCGTTGTGGTCATCTCTAGCTGCAAGAATAACAGGGGTGGAAGTCATTCAGCCGAAGTCACTGTTTTATCCCCCCTAGTTGTTCAATATACTGCACCTTAGAAATGTCTTTCAGCTCTTTCCGCATCAGTATGTTCCCGTTGTAATAATTGACGCCGTTTTTATCCCGAACAGCTGTGAAGTTGCTGATGACGAGGTTGTCCGGCGCCCCCTTGCACGGCTCCAGTTCGTAGAGTTGCATCGCCACGGAGACCGCGCCGCGCCCACCGCTGCCCCCGGGGCTGCGCCCCACCTGCACCACGCAGAAGTCACAAACGAAAGTAGTGCGGTAGGCACTGTTTCTAGGGGGTGAGAGTGTGAGATTCGTCCTACTTACGACACTCTGCACCAGCAGTGCCACCCACGGGATGAGCATGTCGGCAGTGAGAGCTCGGCTGCGCCTGGCCTGGCGTCGCGGCCGCCACCGCGCTGATTGGGCTTTGGCGTTGTTTGGCCTCATTAGCGGCCGGAGCAACCCGCGGACAGCGAGGCGACAGATGTGGAACACGCACGCAGAATTGCGATGTAACTAGTCTATTCGTAGCTTACGTAACACTATGCGATATAACGCATAAGTACGTACAGTATTGTACATAGTTCCGTAAAAATTTTGTACGTAGGTTCGTTTGAATTAAATTGAGTTGGTCTGAATTATTTTGAATTATGCAGAATTAGGGGTGTAGACTTGGCAGGGGAGTTATCCACCCCTCGGGTTTTTCACTTATATCTTTACTGAAATAAAAAACTTTTCAAAAAATGTGCTTTTTTGTCTGAGTAGCTTCTTTTTCTGTCACTGATTCCAAAACACTCTTGCACGCCCCGCTACCTCAAGCGGTTTAAGCTCCAGAGGCCGTCAAAGTTTGTTTTTGTTTTTTTGAAAAAAGTCGGGAAACTTCAAATGGCTCCAGGCTAGAGGTCGGTTTCTAGTTGAGCTAGAGCGGGACGCAAGTCACTGTTGGTACATAATAAAGAGGACTACAAAACCTCACTAAGAGCACCAGAGGCCAAAGTGGGTCCAAAATATTGTGGGCTTCCTTTAGGTCAAATACCCAGGTGGCTGGAGCGCCTTACGGGAAGAGCGGCAGTGTGGCACTAAGCTTTAGACGTTAATCACCCCCGTGCAACCGGCAGTTAAAATACCTCTTAGAGCCGGATTCATTTTGCCTATAAAATTATCAAAAATGCAAAAAATATGGGCCCTACCCACCCCGCTTTGACACGGGGACCCGCCTGTTTAACTTCGGAGTTCGGTATGGGATCCGGTGTTTTCAGGCTCCCAGCTGAGGGCCGGGTTTCTTGACTATCTCGCTCACACCGGAGTTTACAGCCATCGACTAGGTTCCCACCAGTCCGCTTGACCGGGAATGGGGGGTAGGGCGGAGGGAGTTAGAAAGAGAGGAGACGGGCGTACGGTGGTTAGCCTGTACTG